TTTCAGCTATTATTTCTTCAAATAAATTTTCTGCCCCCTTTTTAATCTCTTCTTCTTCTGGGATCCCTATAATGCAAATGTTACCACATTTGATGGTGTTATGGAGTTCTCTAAGTCTTTTTTTTTTTCATTTTTTATTTTTTTTTCTCTCTCTTCTCAGCTTGACTACTTTCTATTACTGTGTCCTCCTACTTGCTGATCTGTTCTTCTGATTACTATTTATTCTATCTAGTGTATTTTTATTTTCAATTATTGAGTTCTTCATCCTATTGGTTCTTTCTTATGTTTTCTATGTCTTTGTTAAAGGGTCCTCCACTCTTTTTCAAGTCCAATGAATATCTTTATGAATATTACTTCACATTCTCTGTCTGGCATATTACTTATCTCTCTTTCATTTAGCTCTCTTGCTGTGACTTTGTCTGTTTTTTCATTAAAGACATATTGCCTTGTCTTCTCATTTTGTCTAACTCCGTGTCTCTCTCTATGTGTTAGGAAAGTTAGCTTCATTTCCTGATCTTGAAAGTAGTAGCCTTTCAAGTCCACTTGACTTGAAGAAGAAGAAGTCCTGTAGTACCCTGCAGTACAATGTCCCCTGTTCACCAGAACCTGTTGTTTCAGGGGTGTCTCCTATGTGTATTGCATGCACCCTACTGTTTTTGCTGAGCCCATTTTGCCTTCAGCTCTGTCGTTTGCAGTGGCTTTCTTTGCCTGTTGTGGGCAGGGTTTGGTCCCTGTGTTGTTGTTTGGTCAGTTTGGGTCTGCCTTGATCTTGAGTTGAGTCAGACCAGGAATTTGCCAGAGATGCAGTAGCATTGATCGGTAACATGCTTTCCCTGTGTTGTCCCCTGAGAAGGTTTAGTTTGTGGCTGGGACCTGTATTCAGACCCGATGGCTGCCCCTAGCCCACTGGGGGCATGTCTACAGGAGAACGTGTGGACAGAGCTTATGGTCTTAGCATGGTTTGTGCAGGTTTGTCATGGGAGGAGACCTTGATCTGCTTTAGAAAACTGGAGCAGAGCCAGAGGAGGCATGTCTTCAAGAGAAGGCAGGGGTGGGGCATGGCGTTAACATGTTAGGTGGAAAGTGTTCCATGATGTGCTGTTCCCCCAGATGTCCATGTGTGTAGACTGGGGGTCGGGGGAGGTGGGGGATGTTGCTTGCCATCTCCTCTTTTCCTGGAAAAGTCTCCTAAAGACATCTGACCCTCCAGCACATGCTGAGATTAGGAAATAAACCTTCCTATATATCCCAACCATGTTTCAAACTGCTATTTCTATGCTGTATCTCTGCAGAGCTGTTTGTTGTCCTATCTCTTTAAGGACAGTAATTCAGTTTCTTCTTGCCCTCTGGCTCTCCCAGAGTGGAGCCTACTGAATTTTAAAGTTCCACATATTAATCTCCTATTGTAAGAGCTCACAAAATTTGTCCCCTGTGGTTTCCAAAACAACATGTTATAGGAATTCATCTTACCTGTGTGGGTTCCCCATGCCTGAGGTGCTTGGTGTGAGGGTTTGTTTCTCTCCTCTCTTCATACCTGTGGTGTCTCTTCCTCTGTGGACAGTCCTGTGGGTCCATTATCTTCCACTATGTCTCTACCCTTTCTACCCTCTTCAATGTGGCCTCTTCTCTTCATTTAGCTGTGGAGAGTCTGTTCTGCCAGTCTTCAGGTCATTTTCTGAGTTGTTTACACGGATGTGGGTGTTATTTAGTTGTATCCTTGTGATGAGGTGAGCTTAGGATCGTCCTACCCCGCCATCTTCCCCAGAAGTCCCATTGGATCTTTGAAAATTAGCCTTGGTAATTATCATGGTTTGTAAGTTACCATCCAGTGATAGTACCATCTTTGTTTCATTTGTAATAGGAGTATAAAGTCCATCTTTTAGAATCATCTGGCTGGAACATGTCAAAACCTCCCATCTGTTATGGGTAGCCAGTATCATATGTATCATAAAGGGAAACATGTTCATGATTATTCCCTTTATTCCCATGTACTGATTCTTCAAATCTACTCATGTATATTTCAGTGAAGCATGATGTGGATAATAAATTTTGCATTCTGTATGCAAAACCAAGGAAGCCTATAAAAACTACACAAATATGTATTTAAGTTTTCTCAGCAATAGCTTATTAGACAATAAATAATATCTTGGTTACTTAAGGGATAATCTACTTGCTTTCCCAGTGGCACCATTTACATTTGTCCCTGAGCTGGATTAAAGGGTAATTATAAAAACTGTGGGCCCAAAACTATGAACCCTCCCTCAAAGCCAGTACTCCTCTATGGTCCAGCCAGAAAAGCTTCCAAACAATCTTCCTCAGTACCCACCATACATATGACCCCAGAATGGGTAGAATGTAATTGAAAAAAAAATCTATCCATCCCTATCACGTTTGTTTTCCCTAAAAAGCAGTGCCGTTAAAAAACAAACAAAACAACAAAACAAAAACAAAAACAAAAAAAACCAAATTGTATTTCCTCACCCTCACCTACTATGCCAGGTTTACTTTGGCTTTTAGGGGGAAATAGCCATATGTTTGAAAAAGCTATGATTGTTTTGTATGCTTGAGGCCCTTTTCATTAACCTCCAGGAAAAATGGTAAAGAGGGCCAAGTAAATATACATAGACAAACCAACAGAATCATTAAGCCATCTTGATGAATGGATTTCTAGAGATTATTAACCTTTATGTTTATTAATAACCTCACATGATAGGATTGATAGTGATTGTTAAATAGAAAGTAAAGTAGCTTTAGGGTGTCTAAGGCAGATTGAGGAAAATAAACACACACTACTTTTCGGTAATCATTCAGCACCTTGGTGAGCATCAGTGAGCTATTTCTGCAGCTTATCAGTAGGCTTCCACTCTGTTTAAGGCACATATTAGTCCTTAGAAGGGTTCTAAAGTTATTCCACAAATAACCCCTGCGTTAAAGGAGGTAATTTTAATGAGTCACAGAGTATTTTCACAAATGCTGCTATAAAAAAGATAGTTGGGGGGCGCCTGGGTGGCTCAGTCGGATGGGCGTCCAACTTAGGGTTAGGGTTAGGGTTAGGGTCATGATCTCCCAGTATGTGAGTTCTAGCCCCGCGTTGGGCTCTGTGCTGACAGCTTAGAGCCTGGAACCTGCTTCAGATTGTGTCTCCCCCTCTCTCTTTTCCCTTCCTCTGCCTGTGCACGCTCTCGCTCTCTCTCTTAAAAATAAATAAACCTTAAAAAAAAAAAGATTAATTGGAACTATTAATATCATTCATGGAAAATGTCTTTCCTCCAACATATTAAAATTCAGAAAGAATTTTATTTCATAACATAAAAGAGTCACAGTGATAGCCATAAAATTAACAAAACCATGACTTTACACAGTCCATTGAAATGTTCTTATTCTGTCAATTTCATTGCAAACAAATCAGCGCATAAGAGTTTTCTAAAAAATGTCTGGCATGAACTTCATATGAAAGCCATGCTTTTGTAGAGCTGGATAAGAATATGGTAGATAACCATAAAAACTGCTTTTTTATTCTCTGATTTCTTCCAAAACTCTCCTTCTAATGTAAAATTGATATAAATACCAATATTTATAAACTTCTGGCAGAAGAAGTTATAGAAGCAATTTCAAAGATCCGTGTTCATTGTTCACCTGAAAGTAATGTAACATTGTGTGTCAACTATACTCAAATAAAAAACAAAAATTTAAACAAAGAGAAGGAAGTTTATTTTTTTAATTTTAATGTTCTTATTTTATTTTTGAGAGACAGAGGGAGAGAGAGACAATGTGTGAGCATGGGAGGGGCAGAGAGGGAGGGAGACACAGAATCTGAATCAGGCTCTAGGCTCTGAGCTGTCAGCACAGAGCCAGTGCAGGGCTCAAACTCATGAACTGTGAGATCATGACCTGAGCAGAAGTTTGACGCTTAACTGACTGAGCCACTCAGGTGCCCCAAGAGAAGGAAGTTTAACACACAGATCACTCCACTGTTGGCAACAACAAAGAGCCCTAGAGTGTAAATATCAGTGCAGGCAAAATTGAGCAAAGGGTTCAGATGACACATAGAGTGATCTATGGTGTTAGGGCTATAGAAGGATAATTGGAAGCTGAAAAAGATCTGTATGGTTGCATGAAGAAAGCCTCCTACTCACACCACTCCCACCAGCAGGCCACGTACCTGCCAGGACATGATGGTTGTATAGTTCAAGGGCTTGCAGATGGCCACATAACAGCCATAGGCCATCATACTAAGTAGGATGACCTCAGCAGCTCCAAAGACATGTTCTCCAAAGACTTAGGTCATGTACCCCTTGAATAGGATGGTCTTTTCATAGAGTGAATCTACAATCAGTTTAGGGGTATTTATAGAGGAATAGCCAGCATCACTAAAAAAAGAGATAGGCCAGGAAAAGGTACATGGGAGACCTCACTGATAGGCTGGCAGTGATGGTGACCATAATGAGCATATTTCCTACCACAGAAATGACGTAGATGACAGAAACTAGAACAAATATAATTTTCTTTAAGAAAAAACAAGGTGGGGGGCACCTGGCGGTTCAGTCAGTGGAGCATGCAACTCTTAATCTTGGGGTTGTAAGTTCAAGCCCCACATTGGGTATAGAATTTACTTAAAAATAAAATCTTAAAAACAAACCCTATATCCATTGTAGTTACTCAATAAATATTTGTTAAATGACTAATGAAAAATGTATCAGGGGGCACCTGGTTGGTTTGGGCAGTTAAGCATCCCACTCTTGGTTTCAGCTCAGGTCATAATCTCATGGTTTGTGAGTTCCAGCCCCGCATCAGCCTCAGTGCAGAGTCTGCTTGGGATCCGATCTCTCTCTCTCTCTCTCTCTCTGCCCCTCCTCTGCGCTCTCTCTCTCTCTCAAATAAACTTAAAAGATGTATTAAATAATTTTTTCTATTTTGAACAAGAATCAGTTAAATAGAGAGTAACACTGTTCTGAGGGTATATGTGACCACATCTAATGCAATGATTTTTGGTTTTTTAGGAGAAAACCCAGCAATGAAATTGAATTCCCTGAGAAGCTGGAAGAAATCAAGTTCACTGTAGCTGAAGATGAAGACCATGAAAAGCTCCAAGTTAAAATACAGGCTTTTGAAGACAAAATAAATGCTGAGAGCAATACTCCTAGCTCTATAAGAAGATATAGTTTGGGCCACTTTTCTAAGGAAGAAAGAAAAGACATTAGATTTAACAGGTATAAATTTTGCTTGGCTGTTTTTTTTTTTTTTTAAAGGATGCACTTTGTGTTTGCTGTTAGTTTTGTTACCGCATTATCATGGGGTGTTTTTTTAAATATCTTTTACCTATAGCACCCAAAGTCCTATCTTTTCATGAATGAGATGGCATTCACAGTGCTTCTGTTATCCAAAGGAGCTTGCTATAAATACAGGGTCTCCTGGGTGGCTCAGTCAGTTGAGCAGCCAACCCAATTTCAGCTCAGGTCATGATCCCAGGGTCCTGGGCTTGATCCAGCATCAGGCATCAGGCTCCATGCTGAGTGTGGAGTGGGCTTGGGATTCTCTCTCTCTCTCTCTCTCTCTCTCTCTCTCTCTGCCCCTCTACCCCACTCATGTGCTCTCTCAAAAAAAAAAAAAAAAGGAGAAAACAAATGGAAAACAAACCTGTGGCTTATTTTTTAAAAATACTTTTTAAACATAAATATGTTATATTAAGAATGACTATCAGAAGCTTGTCTTGTTTTCTGATGAAAAAGCAGACTCCAGGGGCGCCTGGGTGGCGCAGTCGGTTAAGCGTCCGACTTCAGCCAGGTCACGATCTCGCGGTCCGTGAGTTCGAGCCCCACGTCAGGCTCTGGGCTGATGGCTCAGAGCCTGGAGCCTGTTTCCGATTCTGTGTCTCCCTCTCTCTCTGCCCCTCCCCCGTTCATGCTCTGTCTCTCTCTGTCCCAAAAATAAATAAACGTTGAAAAAAAAAATTTAAAGAAAAAGCAGACTCCGAAGTAGAAAAAAAGAATGCAAGTGTATAAGTCCACCATTTTCCAGTTAGTTTTGCCATGAAATTGATTTTTAAATCTTTGTTTTTGGAGGTGGCCTAGATCTTCAAAGATTTGGCTTATTACATAATTTGTTGCTGGTCTATGTGTTTTATCAAATCTGTTTGTAGCACCAATTTATGGCCTCCCATTCTAGAGGAAGTAACTCTTCCCCACTGTTATTATCCTTTCTTTTGCTTCTCAGTGGATGCTAGCTCAACTTCTTTGCCTGTCTTCGCTTTTTGTTTATATTGCAGGTCAAAGAGTTTGGCTTTGCACACTGTGCTAACAAAGAGCATGAGTTCAGATGATGGGGAAATTGTAGAGAGTGGAGATATGCCAGCTAGGATCATTCTTTCAGAAACAGATCCACTTAGCCAAGGAAACGACAAGTTGCCCTTTAAGGCAAACTCTGACAGATCACAGCTGAGAAATTCTTCAGTTTCACACCCAAGTATTATACATACAGAATCAGAGAATTTGCCAGAAACAGTTAAAGAAAACTGCCAGGAGGAAACTCCAGAAACAACTGCAAGTCCTGTAGAATACCAAGATAAGCTCTACTTGCACTTAAAGGAAAATTTCTGTAAAGTAAAGGCATACGCTGTGGAAATCGGAAAGAAGATTCCAATCCCTGATCAGTGTACCATTGAAGGTAAGTTCTTTGAACACCCTAAAATTGAGAAATTTCAAATATCACTGGGGAAGAAACAAAAAGGCTCAAATCATAAAAATTGCCATACCCTGGATTTTTTGTAAAATAGATCATTTGAAAACACCCTTAGGTTATTTTAATTGCTTTTTCCCCCCAATAAGGTCAATCATCTTTTTGATTCCTATTTGAATCTACTTAGATACACTTAAGCTCACCGACTCTGACTTTTTCAAACCTGAAATACATTGTTCCTGATTCCCTGTCCCTAGTGTTTAGGAAAATTCTGGAAGGGGTCTGTGTTTCCCAAAGCAGGCTCTCGGGTAGAGGTGCAGCCAGAGACATTTTTTTCATCCACATAATAATGCAAGGAAGCCATGTACAGCATTGAGCCCCAGGACATTTTTCTCCCATTCATTCAATAGCACTTACGAAGCAATTACCGTGTGCCAGGCACTGTACTAAAAATTCAGCTTTGTGTGAGATTCAGCTATGACCCAAACAGACACAGTCCCTGGCTTCTTGGAAATTATAGAAAGGAAAAAGTGAAATCATAGTCAGGAGATGATGTATGTCAGGAACCAGTAAGAGTGTGAGCTAGTCAGAAAACAGAGAACAAAGCAAAAGATGTCAGGAACTGAGGCATCCCTTGGGTGCACAATTTAAGGAGGTGCCAAAAAAGCTCAGCAAAATTTTAAGTAAAGAAAGGATTAGTATGTCTTCCTAAGTCATATTGGAGCAGAGGCAAAAGGAATATGAAGTAATATTGATCATGTTTCCACTTACAATTTTGATATTTTGTTCATTATGAACTTTTTGTGTTAATTTTGATTTCTTAAAATATTACTTATTTTGACTACTAAATTTTCTGGTGCTTCTTACATTTTGTGCCCTGGTACCGAAAAAGATGATAGGTTTGAGGCACAAGTGCTAAAATGGAAGAGTGCCCAGGGCAAGCTCATCCTTCTGGCAGGGGGTTGAACAGGTTTGGATATTTTGAAGGCACTATCAGGCTAATTAGATTTTTCCTGCGGTTCTTCTCATTTAACAGCCATGCTATTCCTTTCAGATTAAGATGAAGGTCCTGGACTACTTGTTGGGCATGACAGCTTTTCACAGGCGATGCCCATGTAGAAAAAGCTAGGCAGCACATCTTTCAGAAAGAAACACAGCTGAAGAATAATGAATCCAATTCATATTCACCCACCCACTGTCATCCCCCTCAGGGGATGATACTAGGAAGGTCCCATTTTCCATATTCTACTTTCTATCCCTTCTCCCACTCCAAATCAGAGGAAAGAATGTATTCTCATGCTAACAAAGGGAAAGGAATGTATTCTAATGCTCACAAGGACTTGGTAATGACAAATATTGTCTGTGTGTCTGTAGAATCTGACATTTTCAGAAGTGTTTACAATAATTTATTGATTAGGAGTCTTAAAACTTTTTTAAAGAGTGACAATAAAAGTGGTATTGCTCATATTCAATGTAAGTTTTGGATAATTAAGTATAGCAGGACTTGAGAATAGGTAAAGTCAATAAAACTCAATTAACACAAACTTTTTATGATTTCCCATTTCACTAATATTCTATGTATTTAAGGCACAGGTCGGAGAACTTAATAGAAATGAGGTTACATGAATTTCCCAGCTTAAGAAAGGAAACCTGTAGCAAATATGAAGTTAGACACATTTCCACCTGCCAGAATAGTTTTCTTTTTCAAGTTTAGGTTAAAGCATTGAAGCTGTGCTATATAGTGAGTTTTAATCTTGTGAAAATGTAAGGCAGTCTTGCAGTTACTTCAAGCATCCAGTTGTCAAAAACACATGTTATTTCTTATTGCCTTGGATTATTTGAGGACTTTGAGAGTTAACTAAGTGGCTTGGGGTTCTTTTTTCCAAAATATTGAAGGAATCCACCATCTTTACTAAAAACAAACAAGAATCAAAAGGTATTTTCTTTTGATATTTCCTGCCAGGAATGACCTAGAACTGAGTACGTCTATTTTTTTTTTTAAGTTGACATTTTGGAATTTGTTCACATTTTTGTAACTTCCTGGAAGTTCCTGGAAAATTCCTTGCACAGAGATATGTGTGAGGGATTGAAGATTTATATGACTCACTGTAAATACATCCACTGAGAAAGGACTCGTACTGACTGCAGGGGACATGTTGTTACTATTCCAGGGATTGTGTAAACCATTCAGAAGAAAGCCAGCAGTCATCTGGCTGACACAGTTTTGCTTGCTGTCATGAGATCACTCAGCTCAGCAATATCACATTTCTTTTCTTAGATATTTATTAAAGAAAGATTTAGGGTTAGAGACTGTGTTATGCTTAATGTGTTGTGGGTGTAAAAGAGGCATATTTGGTCTTTCTTGCTGAATAATGCAAGGCAATCAAGAACAAAGGGAAGAAGCATAAAAACCACTTCTACAACAGGGAGAGTTAAAAAGATAAATAACCAGCAGGAAACAAGAACAACAACAACAAAGTGTTAAGAATCATTTTAGGGGCGCCTGGGTGGCGCAGTCGGTTAAGCGTCCGACTTCAGCCAGGTCACGATCTCGCGGTCCGTGAGTTCGAGCCCCGCGTCAGGCTCTGGGCTGATGGCTCGGAGCCTGGAGCCTGTTTCCGATTCTGTGTCTCCCTCTCTCTCTGCCCCTCCCCCGTTCATGCTCTGTCTCTCTCTGTCCCAAAAATAAATAAACATTGAAAAAAAAAATTTAAAAAAAAAAAAGAATCATTTTAGACAGATGTCATAATGTCTATAGTATAAGAAAATGATAGAACAACATTTAAAGAAGTTCTTTTGGTATTGTTTTGAATCATATGAAAAAAAAAAACAACTGATATCTGATTTCCTTACTCTGACCTGCAAAAACATCACTTTCATGTGGTTCAATCTAATACTTTAATAATAAACTGTGTTGAAAGAACAGGAACCTCACTAGTCACAGCACAACAGAATCCAGTATTAGGTGAGTCAAGGTCAGAGATACCATTCTTATCCATAGCCCACCATCTTATTATTGCATGATATTAATCACAGTGGGGACAGGCAATGGAGTATAAATAGAGCAGCACAAATCTATCATCATGTCTGGAAAAATTGTCAAACCCCAGGTCTTATTGAGGTTGGGTCAGCAGTGTCATTTTGGATATGAAAGAGCCTGTTATTCCCAAGTCAGTAATTCTCTCCTTGGTCTTATAGGCCTCTAGTGTGGGTGCAGGTTAGCCAACCATGGAAAGTTATATATTCATATCCAGAGTGATGGTCTGACATCACTGACTGATTGTATTTATATACAAGACTGAAGGAATTTAGTTCATTAGCCAAAGGGTATTTTAAATATCTGAATCACTGGAATTCCTTTATGTGAACAAAAATAATTAGAGGTTAAAAGAATCCAGAAATGCATGATATTGAAATAAATCCTTGAAAATCTGGCCCATCACTGGTGTTCTATAAAGGATGATATAAAAGCTTACAAGAACCCATCAACGCTGCTTTGGTTTGCTTTGAAGTATTTCCTGATGGGGTGAAAATACATCCCATCTGTAAAGCATATCAGCAAGCCTGACTTGCAGAAAGCTAATTTTAAAGCTAGTAATGTCTTCCTTTCTCTAATAGACCGACATGAGTTGATTTTTCAACTTGAACAGATATAAGAATACAAAAAAATAAAAGTTTATTATAAAATCAAGAAGCAGCTGTTATTTCATAATTAATTACAAATAAAGATTTCTTACTGAAAGTTTGCATATAGTCAACTCCAACCTCGTGTTGGCATGACCAAGGAGGCAAAGCCAACCCAGCCTTTACCTCTTTGTCCTCGGTTGGTCTAACCTGAGGGACGATGATAAAACCCATTCATTTAGTGGTTCTGGAGGAGGTTTCCTTCTTTTTAAAAATACATTGGTAATTGTGGGATTAGGATCATTTATCCCTGAGGAGAGTTGTAAGATTTGGAGACAGAGGAAAATCCTAAAGCTTTTCCACACAATTTCAGAGGGAGAAACAGCAAATAAGAAAATATTGCAAATTCCTTGGTGTCTTATTCATTGATATGGTCCACTTGGCCCCTGTTTGAAGGACAGTTTTCCCTAACAGTTTTCCTTGGTAGGGAAAACTTTTCTAGAGAATTTTTCTTGGTGCTTTGGACTTTATCTTAGATTACCTCTCTGCCAATTCCCATTTTTCCAGAGTGAACTTTAGTCAAAAGAAGATAGATATAATGGTGGCCAGATTCTCCTCTTAACCTTCTCCTGTCACTCCTATCCTGGTTCCAGTCATCCTCAATGTCCCATGAGAAACATTTAAATAATATGGCTAGAGGAAGACCTTACAAATCCTTTTGAAAAGATCCCCTCCAAACTCTTCTTTTGAGTTAACGTCAGATTACTGTCCTTGTTCATCCCCAGTAGAGTAGCTGCAACACCCTGGCAGACAACCACATCACTGGTAAAGATGTTATGCACTTAAATATACAACTTACTTGTTTGCAAAGTTCCACTAGAGAACATCACATAACTTTATTTCTCGTTAGTTATATTTTCAAAAGCTACTTCTAAAAAGAAGGAGGAGGAGAAGAAGGACAAGTTTTATTTTCTTTGAACATTCAAATAGATAAGGAAAAATGCCCTGGGGCACCTGGGTGGCTCAGTGACTTAAGCTTCCAGACTTCAGCTCAGATCATCATATCACAGTTGGTGAGTTCAAGCCCCGCCTCGAGCTCTGGAGCCTGCTTCAGATTCTGTGTCTCCGTCTCTCTCTCTGAACTTCCCCGCTCACACTGTCTCTCTCCCTTTCTCTCTCTCTCTCTTTCTCTCTCTCAAAAAAAATAAACATTAGAAAAAAGAAAGAAAAATGCCTTAACCATGCTTTTGAACAAAAGGGTGTGCTGCTTATGTGCATGTTGGTTTACCTGATATTTATCTATGAATGAGAAGTATCTTCATCCAACTAGGAAACAGTACAAAGGAAAATTGGTAAGTATATGT